AGGACGTGACTGGTTTATAAGTTCTAGCCATTTTGAGGCAAAAGACTGTAGTTGGGTGAGCCGACACGCGGGCTTTACACAAATCGGTGCCACCTCGATGTTATCGTCAAAGTAGATGTATGGTTGAGATTTGTGATTATTACCTCGATGACAACAGATGTCATTCAGCGGCGTTCGGGCTTTCAAGGTATACAATCTTTCTCGACATACAGGTCGCCATGGAAGGAGGGCCCAACAGTAAATTCATTTTCCTGGGCATAAAAGTTACAAAACTAATAGACAGGAAGATAAGGACGACGGCCTACCGTAAGGCAACTAACACTAGGTGCATCCTCCACTTCAGAAGCGACCACCCTGTCAGTCAAAAACGCAATTATATCAGGACCCTCCTACAGAGCACTCATGCACACTGTAGCGAAGACGAGGAGGAGGTGAAGTACTTACGTGCCCTGTTTGAAGTCAAATGTTATCTGATATCCTCAGAAGGCCCCACTCTTGGTGGCTGAACGAAGAGAAGCCAGGGTTCTGGCCCATGACCAGGCGTCTAATTGTCGCTTCGGGCTTGTGGGCGATGCCGATACACAATGGTTGCAAGGTACGAGCAATTGCCTCGGAAACGTTCGCAATATATGGCAACGTCCGCCAGACTTCTGGTTGATTTGCCGTTAGCTTTATGGTTGGTCTGAACAGCCTCCCCCATTATATAAAGCTGCGGGGATAACCGTTGGAGGTGAACATCCTCCGTAGATAGTGGAGTTCGGCTATGCCGGTCGTTTCGCCGTAGTGAGTGTCAAGTTTCTTGTAGGAAGATCACATAAAAACGCCTCTGCCACAAGGCGAAACAGCCAACATCGTCTATCGGACACTGTGCAGTTCTTGCGGGGCGAACTACGTTGGAGAGACCGGAAAAAGATTACAGACCCGTATGAGCGAGCACGCAAGAGCGGTACGAAGAATGGGTTAGTCCTTGCTGGTGGCGGAACTTTGCGCAGCTTCTGGCCATGTCTTCGCTTTCGAAGACGCTAAAGCTTTAGGTCGGGGAGACGCTCGAAGCCTGGCACACCACAACCACCCCGACTAATCGCTGTGTAACTTCGCCGGCTACCTACCAAGCCCTACGGGTGATGTTAAATAAGCAGGACTACGGGCAAGACGTCAGGCTAGAGACGGGGGTAGTCAAATCCAGCCCGACGTCAACAATGGCGTACCAACCACCGTTCACACGGTTACGGGCAGGAAGGCGGGATACGTCGAGGGCAGACAACGGACACTGCAAACATGAACAATGGCCGCGGTCACCCGACGACGCCCCCCTCCCCACATCCGACAAAGAATTATGAGGAGCCGATGTCATCATGACAACAATCGCCAACCCCGTGGTGCAGCGAGCCGGAAGTCAGTGACATGCCAGCACGAGGGAAAACCCTCGCGTTTTCTCGAAAGCGAAATTGTGGTTCTGTTCTAGTGTGTGGCCATAAACCAACGACAGCTTATCCTTGCGGTTAATTGCAAGCTGATGCTCATGCAATCTTGTGCCGAGGTGGTCGGTCGAGCCAATGACAGAATGGTCAGACTGATGCTGGAAAGTTGGTCCTCGACTGGTACTCTCAACCGGGCCATAGACCTACATTCCGCCTACTAGGCGCTTCGCGCGAGGCTCGAGTCAATCCAGGCAGGGCACGGATGAAGGGAGTCACACGGGGTAGAATACCGACGCTGGCGGAGAGGGAAGGCGCTGACCGAAAGTCACGTGACCGGCGTGGCACGCTATCTCACGTACGTACTCGCGAGGCCGGAAAGACCAAGCCTGAGGAACGACGATCGATCAGCTCGCCGTCTGAAGAGGAGGAGGCCAACGAGCACGCCGAAGCGACGGCAACCACGTCAGGCGTGAGGGAGACACAAGGCACGCCAGTTCGCCAATGGCTGAGATCAGAGAGGCCACAATAAGCCAACAGAAAACAGGCTAACCAACGTGCGTGCGCTGGGCACGGTTATAATACGAGGCAGGTGGCAAGGCTGAACAAATCAAGGCCAGCAGGAAACGCCAGCGACCGACTCTGATGATGGAAACGAGTGTTTCCGAAGCGTCAGTTTGAATACAATCTGGTCCATGAAATCGCATTCTTCGTCCTCCTCGGGGAAATGAGATGGGCTCTATTGCGTAACTTTTCGACGCTGGTTCCCCAGGTCGTCGTCGGAAATGCCCACTCTGGTCTTCATTTTCTTTGTCAACAGTGTTAGTGCGTTTATACTACTAGCCGCTGCGTGGCTGCTAGCGGAGCTCGAGATTGAACCAATAGGCGCAAGGCGGTATGAGTGTGTCCCGTAACGCAATCGGTGGGTGTCCAACTATAATTGCAAATACTCGGTCGGGGAAGGGAGAATGATAGATTAGTGGGACTGCGGGCCGCTGGACTAGCGACCGCTGATGTGGAATGAGGCGCGGCTCAACTAGCCATGATCGTAGGCCTTCATTATGAGCGTATAGATAGCGAGACGTAGCGGAGAACCTCAGCCTGCGGCCAGTTACACCGAGTTTGACCGGATGACCTTGGAGGTTCGTAGTGGCAGATAACTCAAAGAAGTCTCCAGGTCAAAGACTGCAGGCCTGACCGCGAAAGGTATGAAATGTTTGCATCATGTTGCCTCTTAGCTGTCCGTGACTCAGAGGAAAGAGATCGACATTAGATAACTGTGCTTTGTAGTATAGTAAGCCCTGTCAAACAGAGTTTGGTTGCACACCCTTGAACTTTTTCCAGGAGGCTGGGGTCCTTAGAGGTCCAGGGTTTCCACGCTTGAGTAGCGAACTCTAACTATGGCCACATAGAAATCAGAAAGACCTTAGTGAAGCAGTTCTCAACGAAGGTAGAGAAAGCCCGCCTGACAAAGTACAGGGCTTGGTCACCTTTGAGGTTTAAGTGAAATCGTGATCCACACATCCAAGTCCTTATGGGCGTCTACCTCCTGTCCATTTGTGTGGTAAACCCTGCTGTTAGGAGATCAGGTCCCACTGACTCACAGAATCTTGCATGTAATCACATTAAACGGCAAAAGCCAATCCTGCAACCATTTTTCGGGCCAATTCAGGTTCGCCTACGAACGCTCATCGTCAAATTCAGTTCGGACGATGCTTCAAAGCTTAAAATAATCAGAGATCATGGCAGCATCAAAATCAATTTCACTGAAGCAGTCGTTGACATGCATAATGAACAGGATAGGACCAAGAATGGGGCCTTCAGGAACACCGATTTCGACCGCTACCTCCGCGACTGCCTGTCACACCCATGGATAATTTGGAAGTGACCTATCAAGAGGCTTTGAACCCACCTCAGGGGATTATCGCCAACGCCTGGGAAGACGGGTTGCCCGTTAGCTTCGCTGCTGGCTACTTAGCGCGTCCACAGGTGGCAGATAGTGGGACGACCTTCAGTGAAGGTTAGCCGCGAAATAAGCAGACCCAGGTCTGACGAATAAGCAGTCGCGGACCAGCAGCGACAATGCTACCAGGGTGCGGTTGGCTGAGGTCTGGCACGCTGAAAGCCTTATAAAAAGCCGCGAAACCCAATGACGGCATTGTGACATGGAGACCGTAAACCGCCATTAAATAAGTTTACTTGCCACCGCTGCCTTGTGGTAAGGTTTTTAAGCCAAAGCGCTAGAGGAGACAACCCCGAACAAACAATCCGAGCGGCTATTGGGGACCCGCCTGTATCCCAAATTCCCAATAAACCTAATGAAAAATGTCCGATCACAGTATTACGACCCTTGCTACGGCGTTCGCGGGAACCGACGCGCCCCAAAACCCTGGTCTATTGGTGCGGGCGAATAGTATGTGAGCTGGACTACTCAATCGTTGACGGACTCTTGGTATTGGATGCTGGAATGTGCTAACTTTCCTTGATCCCGGTACCAAAAGTCTGACCGCACGCAGCCTTTATCAGTACAACGTGGATGTCTGCTGTCTGTCAGAAGTCGGACTCCGTGAATCAGGCTCCCGCGAAATAAAGATCCCTGAAGTCGAATCCCAGTTTGCCCGGTACCACAGCGGTCTGCGCGATCCTTCTGGTCGACACGGTGTGGCGATCGCCCTATCACAACCAGCGGACCTCGCGCTACTTGCCTGGGAACCAGTCAATGACCGGATGGTCTACGTGCGACTAAAAGGTCACTTCACGAACATCTCAATCGTCTCTCTGTACGCACCAACTTCGGCTGCCGAACAGCGCGATAAAGAGGCGTTTTACTCTCAGTTGCAACCGCTAGTTGAAAGACTGCCTCGTTGCGATCTTCTGATTGTTGCTGGCGATTGAAATGGTCGAACTGGACCTGGCGACCCCACAACCAGTCATCTCCTTGGCCGCACTGGGTCTGGTTCCCGATGTGAAAATGGTGAGAGATTGCTGGACTTCGCTGATCGAAGCCGACTGCTTGTCACCAACACATGTTTCCAACATCACAAAAAACATCTACTGAACGGGTATTTAAACGACGGCCATACGACCAGTCAGATTGATTACATATTAATCAGCTCAACGTTCCGCAGCTGGGTTCACGACAGCAGATCGATACGTGGTGCCGAGACTAGTAACGCCCGTGGGTCAGACCATGTCCTCGCTCGCAGGCGCTAGAAAGTTCATCTCTCATCCGCGCCAAAAATGACACGTCCTAGACGCCTCGATGTCGCAAAAATCCGTTAACCCTGCACAGCCGAGGCCCTGAGCAGAGAAATCCGGACCTGTTTTATGACCCGAGTCGACGGAGAAGGCAGTAACCAGTGTTCGTCACTAAAAACGTCATTCTATGGGGCAGCTGAGAAAATCTTTGGATATGCTCAGCGACGCCGCAGTGACTGGATCAGCGGAAGAACCCTGCAGTTGTCTACTCAGACGGCTCGAGCCAGGTCCCCTAACGATGACTGTTTCCGCCAACTTCGGAGGATGACGGAAAAATCGGCCAGGGATGACTGGAAGCAATATTAGGCCGTAATAACGACCTCCATGGAACAGGCATCGAACGTTGGCGATAGTCGAAAACTCTACCAACTTATCCGCCAAGTTAGCGGTAAGCCCTCTAAACTGAGTGACTCCTTTCGCGACGTGAACGGCGGCTTCATTGCTGACAACTCGGCCAAAATCGAGCGCTGGCGTAAGCACTTCGAGTACCATCTCAACTCCGATACCCAATCTACCTCGCCCATGCTCTCCTCTTCTGCGGAGTTTCTTCCCTCTCCTACCTATGCAGTGCCATGCGATCCCGCCTCCGAGGAAGAAGTCGCCGATGCCATACGAAAGTTGCGCAACAATAAGGCGTCCGGAGAGGACGGTATACCCGCTGAAATCTTTAAGTCTTGTGTCGACACTCTGGCGCCCTGGCTCCATGAGGTGATTGAACGAGCGTGGAGAGACGTGGTTGTTCCTGATGGCTGGGGCTTAGGCATCCTTGTACCTATCCTCAAGAAGGGAGATAAGACGAAATGCGAGAACTACCGCGGCACAAGTCTCATCGACATTGCTGCGAAGATCTTCGCTATTGTCCTACTCAGGCGATTCCAGGCTGTGCATGACTCAAGGACGAGGGCCAACCAAGTCGGATTTCGTGCTAGACGTCCCTGGATATTCACACTGAGGCGCATTCTCAAATTTCGCCATAGCTACCAACAACCGACGGTCGTCTGCTTTATTGACTTGGCCGCCGCGTTCGATTCCGTTCATCGTGAGTCCCAGTGGCGCATAATGGCGCTAGATGGTTTACCAGCAAAAATCATCGCCATGATCAAGGCCTACTATCGCTCCACTATTTCGAGAGTCCTGGTGCGTAAAAATCTTTCCCACCCGTTCGGTATTCGGTCTGGCGTTCGACAGGGTTGTATCCTGTCGCCCATTCTGATCAACTATGCTACTGACTGGATCCTCGTGAGGGTCGTACACGAAGGTGACGGTGTTGAGCTTGCACCCCGACACCGACTGACTTATCTCGACTATGCCGATGATATCGCCTTACTTGCTTTAGGTTTTTGTGATCTGCCGTCTATGGTGTCACAGAGTAAAGACGACATTGTCTCCCGAAGTGATGCTGCCCGCTGAGTTTTCTCAAGCCCTCGGAAATGCCTACGGATCCGACGTGACCTCTCCATCGCCACTAACATTCGCGTGTACCGTGCATCTGTCCGGTCTGTCCTTCTCTACGGTTGTGAATGCTGGACTTTGCGCGAGAGGACGAGCGAAAACTGGAGGTATTTGACCACCACTGCTTGAGGACCATCCTTCGAGTGAAGTTCACCGACTTCGTCTCAAATGAGACAGTCCGCGTTCGCTGCGACAGCATCGTAAGGATCACTCAGGTCATCCAAGAAAGACGACCCAGGTGGTTTGGGCGTGTTCTTCGTCGTCCACCTCAGGAGCTCAGTGTTACTGCCCTCGATCCGGCACCGCTACCCCATTAGAAGTGTAGAAGAGGGGGTCAGTTCAAAACCTGGCTCGACACAGTTCGTCAAGATACGGAGGTGGTTCTTGGACCTTCGGTATTCGGTCTCCGTCGTTGGCGAAGGGAATGGGTTGGACTGTCCAGATCTGCTTCCGCAAACCGTCACGCGTGGAGAGGAACAGTTCATGACATCATCGAGGCCGGCTAGATCAGGCATGATCGCAGCCGTATCAAGTACAAGTAAGTACTGTTTAGCTTAGTCTGCACAGAAGTCAATGATGTAGTACACCATCGGATGCGTTCCTATTGTCGAGTGCATTACATTCCCTTCATCAACTGTACGGGTCCAGCGTTCTAGACAATATAGAAGGTTTATCACGCATAACCTGCCTCTGCGGAATCCATGCTGGGCATCGCATGACAGATTATGCCTCTCTAGGAAGCACATTGGCTGTTGCTTAATTGTTTCTTCCATGATTTTGCAGCAGACTGAAGTGAAGTTGATAGATCTGTAGTTGTTTGCTGAGACCTTGCTACAGCCTTTAGACCGTGGTTTAATCTATACAGATTTCCAGTAGGTGGGCAAGTGGCCTACTGTGAACCAGGCTTGGAAGGGCATATACAGCGATTTGGATAGTTCTTAAGCGAGCTTTTTAAACGATTAAGCATCAGCAGTTCTTTGCTAAAAATAGGTTCAGTGAAGGAAACAGTCTCAACCGTTGGGGCTTCCAATAAGTCTCGTAAAGATAGACTTAAAAAATTGTGAAGGGTGTTCTGCCTTTGTTCCATCCTCGCTAAGCTTTAGGTCCTTACAAGCTTTTAAAAGGGGGGGAGAGGGGGGGGGTTGGGCCTCTGTTTTGCGCGGTCCTTCTCGTGTAACCGTAGAATGACTTCGGATTCCCTACGGCCCAGATCAGTAAGTTTTTTTCAGAAACATGCCGTGTCCTGAGGATAAGTCGCTTAACTAGGTTTTTCTGTGCCTTATATGCATTTATCGACAAAGGGTTCCTATCTGAAAGAAATTCCTCCAAAATCTTTGTCTTTTGTTCACTTCTTCTTTTAAAGCTGGAGTCTGCTTTCCGGTCTCTTCTGTGAAATCAGACGGTAGTTTCTGAGAAAAATTTGCAACAACTAACTGGACCGGTCCCATTCCTGTACCATGTTGCTAGGAAAGGCTGATACCCAGTTTATTTTGTTCATTTCAGCTTTCATTTGATGAAAGTCGCCGCGCCAAATACTCCTAATTCTGGTAGCTTTTTCGGGCATAGAAAAGATGGAATACATCCACAACGGTACGACGTGGTCACTTCGACCCAGGGAAGGTAGACATTGCAACTCACCAATGTTATCCAGTGACTTCGTAAACACCCGATCAAAACAGTTTGACTTTTGCTCTTCTCGCAACCTCGTTGGAAACAAAACGTGCGGAACGGGAAATAACCCGAGCGTCATGTCCATTAATGGTCGGTCAGAAGCTCGGTTTGGACGAAGTGCGTAAACTGAACCGCAGTCAATAAGTGGTGCACCAAAGTCTTCCATGAACAAGACGTCAGACAGAATAGCAAATCTTCCTAGGTTCTCTAGCTAACGGGCGTCAGCCGGGGATCATTTCTCGGCGATCGGTAGATAGTCAGGACGTCGAGGCTTGGTGAACCCGAAACTTTAATAGGCAGTCAAATTACCTTGGAAGAACACACAGATTTGGCTATTTTGTCTGAGACTATAAGCCCATATTTTACGTACGTGAGTGCGCCGGCTCCCTGACGTCCTGACCTGTCTATTTCAAACAGCTGGTATCCAGGCATAGTTAACTAACTGTCGTCCATGTGTTGGGCCAACCAGGTTTCTGTCAATGAAATTACACCTGGAGATAGATCAGAGAGATGGTTCTCCGGCTCGTAAGTCCGGTCATTCAGATCAGACCCGTTCAGTGGAAAAATGGTGGGCACTGCATGACTTGGTTGTTGCATATAACTAAATTGTGTTCTCCTTCACTGAGTCTCTTTCTCAGTCCTAGAACAAGAAGGCGACATTTCAGCCTCTCTGCTGGCGAGTAGTCCAGTTAAAAATAAAAATGTCGGGATTGGAGCCTTTCATCTTAAAGCGCTAGGAGCGAATCAGCCTAGCTTGTTCCTTACAGGACAGTACAATTCTGATAGGCTGTGTTGATTCTAACTAATTGTTTGTCCGTTTTCCAAGACGGAGGGCTTTGAGCATCTCAAATGCCTCAGTGGGTTCCAAAATACTGTTAAGCAGACCCTTTAAGAGCGTTAGGTCTTCCAAAAATAGCTCCTTGGAAGCGTTGGCGTTAGATTCAGCTAGTTCCTGGATAATGAGACATTGCTTCCTGACGGTTTTCTTCGTATTTTTCGTAGGTGTGTCGTTATCTAAGGGGCGTAGTGCTCTGTGACATAAGCCGGTGATGGCGGGGCAGACATTTTTCGCAGTTTTGGCGTTTTACTCCTATTTCGACAGACTTTGAAGAAGTCGTGGACACGGACGGCTGAGGATGATGATCTATAGTTTCGATGATTGACTCAATAACACTGCTCGTGCTGGGTTAATCCAATTAAAAATTTCTCCGGGCGTTGCTAACGGTTTTAAGATTATCGGCACTAACCGTTATAGACGGGGAAGTTGTCAAGACATCTGGTTCGGGTGCCGTGGAAATATCACTCAGAAACGGCTATCCATTTCCACTGGCCTTTATAACGCTAGATTTCTTCTTTTCCTAGGGCTTTCTATTTTCCCCTCAAGCCGGTCAATTTGCTTTTTCCTTGTTCATTCTGACTCTGCCGTATCTGCTACAGATGGCATTGCTGACGTGTCTTTTAAGTGAGGGCCTTTGCCTTACTCCTATCTACTCATCCAGGAGGTACATTTGTATCTCCAACGATGCCTAAACCACAATGTAACGGTTTTTATCTGTTCGATCCTTTCCTCAAGATGGTTAGCCTTGAGAGCTAACAAAGGACATGCGGGCTGATGGAAAGATTAACTAAGGAAAAGAACATTACTGGGACGCGCAAAATGTTGTTTAACATATTTTTAATACCAGATGGACAATGTACTTCAGAAAATCAGTCACCCCTGTAAACGATCCTTACACGGCCCAAAAATACTCACAGAACAAGTCGATAGACAAACAATCCTGAAAATCTGTTAAGACGACTCCAGTAAAAATCGGTGCGTTAAATCATAATTGAGTAATTAAATTGAGTATACTCAATTGAGTATCTGGGCCAAATGTCCTAAAAACTGGATGACACAGAGGATTACTGATAAGGTTTACTACAAAATTTCTCTCGATACTGTGGAAGATGTCTAATGGCAGTATTTGTGAGCCTAGTTTAACGCGCGTGCTTAATATGTGTGTAATAATCTGTCCATGGTGCGAGTAAAGGCGGAACGCCTAAGGCCCGAAAGCAAATCGTAACAGCCACTCTACCTTAAGGTGACCCAAAATCGGTGCAGTAAAACAAAATTTAATATAAATCTGAACGATGTTCATTTGAGTTACTTTAACCTGGCTAATTGAAAGCGGATTATATTTAAGACCCAGTTAACCCCTACTGTTTCCATTATCCTAAAATACACTGAACTAGGCCGAGCAAGGGGGATAAATTAAATTATGATATTGAAATTATGAACAACTTTCGGAGCTGCTTCAATTACGTCCACACCATAGAACCTACTTTTGAATAGCTGACAAATTTCCAAGTTTTTACAACTAATGGGTTACACAGTACTAAGGCGTTTACGACAGATACAGCAAGCATTTTTTTCGTAGACGCGGTCCATCAAACTGCCTATTCGGGTTGCTGTTTCCTCAAACATCCTTTAACGGTATCATAATAGGTTCGTTACAGCTGAATGGAGGTGTGAGAGCCGTCAAGCGTGGGCTTTCAATAGTGAACAGTTAAATTTCTTCCTTATTGTGGTGACGGTAATCGATTAGTTATGTGTTACGTCCGAAGTTAAAAAGAACGAAGAAAGTTAATCAAATTTTGGCATTTATATGTCGACTGTGGATTTGAATCCACTTTTGCATTTAATACGTCCATCTTATTTGTCATCGCCCTGATTATTATGAAGTTTTACTAATATGCGATAAAGTTGTAGAACGTGCAATACCTGAGGGAAAGGAAGATAGTCGGAGCAGTATTCGTGAAGTGAAGAAGAATACTTCGGAATCGCGACGATTCCCATAGTCATACAAAAGACCTTCGAGTGCAGCAGTCTTACACAACTTACCCAATTATCTGTATTTAGTTTGTTCTATTAGCATTGAAACTTTTAAATTACTGGGGCACTGCACAAGGTCTGGGAATTGACCAACAACATCCACATACCTAAAGGGGTCGGGGAACCTCAAGAAATAGTAGCAGAACCGACGACTGTTAGCGTCTGCTGTTAATTGGTGGACAGTACTACGAGAGCGTTATTAAAGTGATATCTTGAATATCAAGAATTATTTACTGTACATGGGCGTGTGTTGCGAAGGAGACGATATTGTCCCATCGACCATTCGACGGCAGATATAGTACATACGTTTTCCAAAACATATTCAACACTGTTTTGCATGGACGGCTGCAACTGAGAATGCGTCAAATACATGTGACTGGGAGCATTCGCAAACGGTTAGCCGACTTCCTCCACC